AATGCTGGAGATTGAACTCAGGGCTTTGTGTAGCTTAGGCAAGCGTTCTACCAACTGTGCTCATCCCCAGCTCCTCTAAAAGAATCAAGCCACATGCTACCAGACCAGAGCCGCTGACAGTGAAAATGTTAACTGTGTTCTCCTTGCTGCCTCTGTGAAATGCCAGGGCTCATGGACAACTCTGGGACCTGGCAAGGTCTATTCTACCCCAGTTAAACTATGGAGAATTCTAAACACATCTGGATCCTTTAGAAATACTTCTATAGAACAAAAGATAAAAGAACAGAAAGAATATTGGAAGAAACAATAGCCTAAAAGTCCCCAAATCTAATGACAGCCGTATCAATGCAACCAAGCAGCTCAACAGACTCTGTGTAGGGTGAACACAGAAACAGATCTGGCACAGGTGAACACCTCAAGGCCCAAACCAGCAGCTCACAGAGCTGTGGAGGAGTGGTATTTCTGTGTGTGGTGCTGGTGAATTGAGATTCATAATGTAAACCACATCCAACAAGTAGATCACTACAGAATAGCATTAAAATCATTATAGAAATCAAAATGCTACACTAAAAAATGAACACAAAGGACAGAAATAAGAATGAAATAGAGGAATAAAAAGATAAGTAATGTATAGAATAAAAACTCATGGCAGAAGTAAATCAAACTAATACCAATAATACTAAAGGTGAATGGATTAAAGAATCCAATCAAAATGCAGAGATTTTGTTTTTCAGATCAAACAAGGAAAATTTAAAATCCAATTAATTATATGTTATCTCCAGGGGACTCACTTCAGATTCAAATACCTGAATAGGGGAAGGGGAGCAAAAAAAAAATACCTGAATAGATGAAAAACAATCACTAGAAAGCCAGGTATACCACTGTCAGAAAAAAAAAAAGACTTCATGGATTTTTGTTTTGGTTTTATTTTCTTGTAGTGCTAGAGACTGAATCTAAGACCTTGCATGTATGTATTTGACAAGTGCTCTATCACTGAGCTATATATCTCTAGCCCTAATACAGACTTTAAAACAAAAATGAATGTTACTAGAGGGGAAAGCCCTGTATTTTATAATGGTAAAAGGATCAGTTGAGCAGAAAGCTCTAACCATTAGAAAGATAGTGCACACCTAATAAGAGAACGCCAAAACACATGAAGAAAGACAGACAACGGAAGACAAAGGAGTAATTCAGTAATAACAGTTGGAGACACTGGTATCTGCACCTAATGGATAGAGAACTGGGCAGAACATCAACAAAGCAACAGGAGACATAAACAGCACTGTAAGCCAGCATGCCTAGCAGACACCCCCACAACACCCCGCCCAACCTTCTCACAGGACAGTCTCCCAGCCAGCCACATGCTGAGCTCCAGAACAACCACAATGCATTTGGAAGGAATGGAACAATACAGGCATGTCCTCTGACCACAGTGGAATAAATTCTGAAATCATCAAAAGCTATTTGGAAAACGCACAAATATGTGACTATTAAACAACACGCTGCTAAACAACCAGTGGGTTCAAAAGGAAGACTCAAGAAAATGCTAGGTGGCATATAAAAGACATGGCATACCCAACATGGGACGTGGCTCACAGACTATAAACATTTACAATAATGAAAAAGGATGTGCGGGCCTCGGGAGCTAATCCAGCTATCCAAGTGCTTGCCATACAAGAATGAAGACCTGTGTTTAGATCCTTAGAACCCACGTAAAAGTCTGGTGTGGCTGTGTATGTCTATAGTCTCTGCACCGAGGAGGAAGAGATAGGAAGACTCCTGGAGCTTGTTGACCAGCCAATCAAGCTGAACTGGTTAACTACAGAGAGAGACTTGGCTTAAAAAGTAGTTGGAGAAGTGATTGAGAAAGACACCAGTTGCCAGCTTTTGGCATTACATAGGAGTTCACACATACATGCACATACCACACACACACACACACACACAAGGATGTGATGGCCAAATTCCAGCATTTGGAAAGTGGAAGAAGGAGGATCAAGAGTTCATGACCAGCTGGTGCTATCTAGCAATTTTGGGACCAGCCTGAGCTATGTAAGATCCTGTCTCCATGTCAAACAAGAACAAAAGAAAAAAATGAAGATATGGCTAAGTTTGGTGATTTATACATAGGGTGTCTGAGGCACAATGATCACAAGTCTGAGACCAACCTGGACTAGAGAGAATATCTCATAGCAAAAACAAAGGATAGCAATGAAAAGGTGTCGAGTCAATAAACCAACCTTTGCCTCCACACCAAGAAACAAGAATAAAGATGAACTAAGCAACTTCCCAGAAGGGAACAATAAAGTTCAGAGTAGAAAGCCAGAATCAAGGATTTTCGGGGGTAATATAAGCCCACACTCACAGCAGCTCTATCCACGGCAGGGGTGGAATCAGGCAGATCCACTGAGGACCAAGAAGGCATATTGCTTGGGTGGGATACCACTCAGTCTTTTTGTTTTTCCTTGATTTTTCAAGACAAGGTTACTTTGTGTAATGGTCTGGCTATCCTGTAACTGGCTCTGTAGAACAAGTTGGTCTTGAACTCACAGATATATTCCTGCCTCTGCCTCCTAAATGCTGAGATTAAAGGTGTGCACCACCACCACCTGGCTACCACTCCGTATTAAATAGAAATTATGACCCATGATAAAATATTGATGAGCCATGGTGATCTTCCTGTCTCGCTCCCCAGTACAAGGGGTTGGATCACCACATCTCAATTACATAGTACATATTTTGATCTGTTGTATATAACATTTCATTAGAATCATGAGTTTATAAAAAGTTCAGTCACTCCTTTCCTCTCTTCCGGAAGACTTATGCTAAACACCTGATAACATAAGAATCTCACATGGTTCAGGAGTCAGATGGTAAGGGTATGTATACAGGGAGGAATGTGGCCCAGCAGCGGGGTGTGGTCACTGGAGGGTGGATACCATCTAACTAAATTCCAGCCTACCAAATCCCCTCCATCTAGCACCCAGCTCGGGGAGGGGGCTCTCTTCATGGTGGTGTCCAAGTGAATAGAGTAATGCCTGACAGCCTGTACCAAACATTTCCACTGTGCCAGGCCCTGCCCGGTACGTCCCCTGCCTTGTGCGATGGCACTCATGTGCTAGTTAGGGTTCTCCTTTGTCTTATCCCAGCTCTGCCTCCACCATCGAACCAGACGGGGCATAGATTCCCTAGGCCTCCTGGAGTCCCTAATACAATCAGGTTTAGGACAGACTAGGATAGCACAGTCAGCCAATTCTAAGCTTATCTAGGCTGCATAGAGCACAGGCCTCGGGTAGGGATGGCCCAGGTACTCATGGCTGCACCAAGTATCAATTCTGTGTCTTCCTCAGCTCTACAGCTCTCAGAGACTCATCGGTCCCACTGTCCCTCCTCCTTCACCTACCCCACACTAAGAGAATGTTATCCGTGAGAAGGAAAGCCAACGTCAGCAGTGTGCTGAAAACCAAGGACCTCTCTAACCCGGTGTTCCGAAGACTCTCACCTGCTGGCGTTAAATCCTGGCTCCTCCACTGCCCAGCTCAACTTCTGCATGAGTCCCTTCCTTGCTCAAAGCACTCATTTCCGCCTCGTAGAAAGAGGCTCAATCGAGCCTTACAAACAGGCAGTCACCAGCAATACGTGACAGGTTGCCGGGGTACATCTGGCACAAGGTCTGTCTCCTCATTAATGTGAGTTGGTCTTGCTCGCCCATTTCCCAAGCTGCCCACGGTAGGGTGGTTCTTGAGGTGTCCTGAATGCCTTGCATGTGGGAGCTCTTAGTTGTGAAGGAGTTGCCAGTTAGTGGGCCATGGGCAGACTCTAAATCCTTATCTATCACCTAATCAGAGTTCTACCCAGAGAGTCCTGGGGGAGGAGCAGAGCTCAGCCTCCAGTGAAGTCGCAAGATCCCAAGGGCCTCTTGCTCATTGCTCCCACGGGAGGATGGGTTGTGGGATGTGTAGGACACAGTGGTGAGTTTCCATCACATAGGGCTCCAGGAGGGGAGGCAAGTGGACCTAGGGTGGGCCTGGGGTTCTGCTTTTCTACCTGGAACCATTAACAGTTGTGTTGGGGCTACACTTGAAGCCCCAGGGTCTGAAGCCTGGCACAGCCCTTTCTGAGAAGTGCCTGGGATACAATGAGTGGCAAGCCCATCCTGGCTCCCACCCAGTTCCACTCTGGATCCAGCATCTGGAGGATAATACTACATGGTTTTTCAGAGTTGATGGGATTTCATTTCCATTACATATATAAAACAAATCCAGCACCGCATTATAAAACAAAAAACAGAAAATGTGGAAAAAAATAGCAGGGGAAAAGGATCACTGATAAGCTCAAATTGTCCTGAAAAAGATGGCTTCTGTCTTTGCTCCCCAGGATCCTGTCTGTATCGGAGAGTCTGTCGTCCAGAGAGTGGAATCAGCTGCAGAAGCCTTGCAAAGCACAAGGGATAGAATGGGGCTGCCCCCGACACCCTCCAACTCCCAGTCCTGCACCCTGAGAGGGATGCCGAGTCTCTTGGTACCCAATGCCTTTTTTTTCCCCAGGCCTATCCTGAGGCACAACTAGGCTAGGACCCCTGATCGTTCCTTGTTCTAGGCAGAGGAGGCTGTGGTGGATCTGGAGGGGGTGCACATCTGGATTCCTGGCCAGGAGCCCACATTCCTTCCTGGTGAGTGTGAGCAGATGGGGCCTCCGGAGAGTTATGAAGAGATTGCAGGCTGCCTCCTGCCCCGCTATAATAGGACCCACCCTGCAGGAACATTTGTGGGACCCGGAGGGCCAGAACCTCACGTGGGGGCCTGGTTTGGGTCCAGAATCCCCCATGCAGATTGCTGAGCAAGCATCACGGACCCAAGTGGGGCCTGTGTCCCTCCACCCCAGAGAGCCTTACCTCACTTAACAGTGTCAGGGAAACAGAGGGCCAGGGGAATCCATGGTGCCCACAGACCCAGCCAGGAAGGAAGCATGGAGAAGCCAGCTGGGCAAAGCTACATTACCTGAGGGCAGTCCTTAATGTAGTGTCCTTTGTTGAAACACAGGTGGCACAGGTAGTTGGGCGGAGGCCTCTTGCTGGGCTTGCGGGCCTCAGACGTGAGCGTCAGGTCTGAGAAGTGCTCGGTGAGGGAGCTGAGGCCGTCGGCGATGTTGTTGAGAGAGCCATAGGGTGAAGCATTCCTGTACACACTGCTGCTCAGTGCCTGCGGGAACAGAGGCCATTCAGGGCTGAGGTGATGGAGGCTCCCACTCACCATCCCACGTCAGTTCACACAAAACCTTCCGTTAGCCCCAAAGCCCGAGTTCAAATCCTAACTCTAGTTGTGGGTTTGGCCTCAGGGGCCCTGCTCATACTGTGGGACCCATCTCAGGGTTCCATTAGGGCAAAGTGAGGTCACGAGGCTAAAGAACTTTGTCACATGTCTGGGCCTTAGGACTCCTGGGTACCATGGTGATGATGTTAGCAGCTGTGGCCATTGTTACAATCAGTTCCTGACACACTGTGCCAGAAGTGGAGGTTAATACTATCAACTGGACAGGATCGAGAAGCACTTGGGAGATAAATCTCTCAGCATGTCTGTGAGAGAGTTTCCAGACTGGGTGAAGCAATTTCAGAAGACCCACCCTAAGCGTGGGAGGCACCGTTCCCTGGGCTGGGGTCCTGGACTCAATAAAAAGACAAATCAGGTTTGCAGCAATGTGACTGTCAACCTCAGGCTCCTGAAGGCACGACTTCCCTGTCATGATGGACAGTACCCTCTGATGTGTGCTAAAGCAACCCTTCCTTCCTTAAGCTGCTTTTGCTGGTATTTTAACACAGAAACCAGAAGAGTGACTAATACAGGCGGCATTGTGGGAAGCCACTTGTCAGGTATGGAGGGACTTCAGACACATCTCTGTCGACTCTATTTCCCGTCTCATAAGGAGTCTGCAGTGTGGCTACCATGTTCAGAACTGAAGGCCAATGCGCAGAGGAGCTCTGCCAGCCTGAGCCACCTCCACATGACAGGAACCAGACACCCCGTAGAGCTCCCAAGCATACAAGACTCGGGCCCTCTTGGTGTACACAGCCTCTATTTATAGGCCTCACAGGCTCCAGGAGGCACGGCACACAGGAATTCAGTGAAGGTGGGGCTGGCAAGGAATGGCGAAGGGCTACCCTTTCCTAGTGAAGGCCAGAAAGCAGCAGCTTCCCCAGGAAAGTCAATAGGGAATCTGGGCACACCGGTTGGAGTCCTCTGAGCCCACTACAGATGTCCTATATGGCAGGAATGAGCTCTGGCCTTTGGCTGATGTGAAGATGAAGCCTTGTTTTCAGGAGTTTTTAGGCTGATAGAGAAACAAGGTCCCTGAAACCAAGAACTTAGACTCCTTTACAAAGCAGGTGTGTGTGTTGGGGGAGGGGGAGACAGGCAGAGGCCTAGAACTGTTTCCTCTGTATGGGAAGGGGAGATATGAAAATTGACAGCAGTCTAGGGGATGGGGTACACCCTGCCTAACCCCAAAAAGAATAGCTTCAAATCTCATGTTTCCATTTTCAGAAGCTGATCACTCAGCTCCTAGAGGACCCAGCCCTCATCTTCCAGGTAAGACAGTACCTCAGACACTTGCTAGGTGACCCCGAACGGGGCCTTTCCTTCTCCGGGCCTTTATTCTCTTCTACCTTATTTTGGCCAGAGTCTGGCCCCAGAAGAACACAAAGACATCATACCTAGAGCTGCCCAAGGCTAGCACACTGCTTTTCTGCAGCAAGAGAACCACATGGATCCTGATGACCGTCTACTTAGCCACTTGGCTCACCACTCCATGCTGGAGTAGACAGAGCAGTCCAGCACCAGCCAGCATGTGGTCTGGGCCAACTCTGTAGCTCTCGGGTGAGCCCAGAAGGGAGTGGATCCTTGAGAGGCAACGGCTTCAATCCTGGAGGCAGCCTACAGGGTCACTTTCTGAAGTACAGCGGGACAGCGCTGGTGGAAATCAGACAAGGTGGCCATGGTGGCAGGCCAGACCCTAAGAACTGTGCACTTATGGAGATAGCTGGTTCTCATCACAACCTTGTGAGTCACTACCCCACACTCCACAGATGAAATGAGGATTCCAAACTTGTATTGAATGACCTGGAAACTAGTAACAAAAACAGTTTTTTTTGGGCTCCACCTCAAAGTCATCACAGCAGTGGCTTGGAACCAAGGGCATATTTTGGTGTGTGATCAAATTTCCACAACGAGTTACCAGTTTGATGATTTTAAAGCATACAGTTCTGTGGCCCTTAAACATATTTTCACTAATATACAACCACCACCACCGCCGCCACCACCACCACCACCACCGCCGCCGCCACCACCACCACCACCGCCACCGCCACCACCACCACCACCACTACCACGTCACCTCCAGATTCCTCTATCTCTCCCAAGCCAAAACTCTGAATCTATCGGATGACAATTCCTGACCTCCTTCCAAATATGCTTTGCCCAGCCCCCCTGGAAAATCTGGCAGCAGTAGTCACTTCATGGGTTTCAGAGCACAAACTCCTAGGACACTATCTTGACTGGGAGACCTGTCTGGTACCAGAACGGTACGGGCTCTATCTTCCCAAAGCGGCCTGAGTTGGGGCAGCATAGCCCCAGCCTCTTGGAGAAAAGTTCATCCAAACAAGAAATTTGAAGCTCCAAACCCTGTGACTCACATTCACGGCTGGGAAATGCAATTTCACAAAATAACAACCCTCTTCCCTTCCCCCTTTCCTTTCTTTCATTTTTGCTGGATAGGATTTAAACAAGTCCACAGCCTTCAAGACTGTGTTAGGAGGAAGGGGAAGTCTGGTGGATGCCAAAAGTACACTAATTACACCCTAAATAGTCCTCTCCCCAGGCTTGTGGCCACACTCCTAGCCTCACAACAGTCATCAGGCATCCCCAAACAGTCAAAGGCCTCTGAGAAAGCCACCCCCTTCTCTTGCAGCTCAATAGTCCCACATGCCACCAAGGGTCATAGATATGCCTTCTCTATTAGCTCCATGGACAGAACAAGGCTAGAATCCCCCTCCTAGAATCCTGGCCTTCACTGTCCCCTAATCTGTCTACTTAACTGCCACAGTCTTCTTCTCCAAGCCCCATCCCAAGAAAAACACCACTCAGAACTAAGAATTCTGAGAATAGTCAGTTGATTCAATCACATTCCCGTGTTATTAGTAGAGAAACCGAGGTTCTGAGGGCTGCAGGGACTAGACCCAGTTGGAACTAAGAGTACAACTTGCCTGATCAGGGCAGGCTTGGCATGTCAGAAAGCCATTTCCTCTGCAAAGCCCTATTTGAGCTCTGGCCACAAAGGTGAAAGGCAAGTCTCAGATGTTTTTCTGGCCTGCAGGGACTGGGCAGAGCATAGGGTTGGGCCTGCCCTCTTGGAACAGAAGGGGTGGGGGCAAACTTGACGGTTCCTGCAGGTGCACCGTTGCTGTATTCAGCCACTCAGATTCTGAAAAGTACCCAGGGCCCAGCATGTAAAAAGTGGTCATCCAGTCACCCACACTGCAGGGCCAGCAAGCAGAGCACATATGCAGGAGTTCCCCAGGCCCTGCTGTATGTAATGCATGTAAGCTCTGGACTGCATCACCATCCTGGGTCAGTGACTGCGGAAGCTGGCAGGAAGCATGGGATCCTTTCACCATATGTGGGGAGACTTGGCATCAGACTCACAGTCATAGCTGGAACCTTCTCCAAGGTTCTTGTTGGGCTGATAGGGAAAAGTAGATGAGAAGACACTGGTTTGCTCTGACCGCTGGTTGTTCTGCTATAAGCTACAGAATCTCCTTTTTCTAGTTCCCTTGACTGCTAAGACACTGTTTATCTGAGCACTGGTGTTATTTTTGCAGAGCTGGAAACTGAGAGTCAAAGAGACTTAGTAACTTGTCCAAGGCAACACAGGCAAAATGCGCTGGCCAGTTACATGTCACCCCCACACAGCCTCCAAGGCCTGTGTGGCCTATAAAAAGGTAGCCAGAGGATGATGTCAGATGTGACATTGTACCTAAAGCCCCTCAGTGCTGAGCTGCTTCTTTGCACTCTGTGAGGGGGCTGGGCTCTGGAGAAGGTAGCTCTGCCGTGGAATGTTGAGGACAGAGGCAGAGTCCCAGGGCTGTGTCTCTCTCCCCCCAGAGAAGCCTGCCCAGTTGGACTCTTCTGCAGAACTATCAGAGGGTACCACGGGCAAGGAAGAAACTGGCAGGCACTGCAAAGTAGGCAGATACTTTTGAGGGTGTCCCAGAGAGAGCAGAATACTGATCCATGGCGATGGGAGAACAGACAAAGGGGCAGGAGCAGCAGGGCAGCAAGTGGGAGGGAGACAACCTCAGCCGGGAACGATACAGCCATGGGCAAAGCCAGTGGTGAAAGCAACCTACGGCTGGGCTATGGGCAGGCTACCCCAGGGAGATCAGACAAACACAGGTGCTCTATGTCCTGCTCTCACCCAAGGCAGGCCCAGAGGAAGGAGCCTGAGTCTAGCCCCTAGTTCTATGGGGCTCCTCTCATCAGCCAGTCAACTAGCTTCTCATCTCCTCAAGCCACCAGTCCCCTGCCTCTGCACCCAAAGCCACCCAACCCTCACCTGTTGTGGAATCTTAATTGAACTATAAAGATGCATTGCATTTGTTTATGGTGCTTGTCTAAGGCACCTGATAGATCTAATAAAAATCTAAATGACCAATAGATAGGCGGGAGGTATAGATGGGACTTCTCAGCAGAGTAAGCAGAAGGAGGAATCTAGGCTCAACAGAGACAGAGGGAGAGAGGAAGGGCCAGGCAGACAGACATGGAGGAGTCAGGAAAGCAGAGCACATAGAATGAAAGAAAAGTTAAAAAGGAAAAAAAAAACTGAGGCAAAATGTATATGAATAGAAACAGGTTAAATTAAGTTAAGAGTTAGTGGGACAAGCTGAAGCTAAGGCTAAGCATTCATAGTAATAAGCTGTTGTGTCATTATTTGAGAGCTGGCTGGCAAAAAAATGCCAGCTACACTCACCTCTGCACCCAACACACACACACACACACACACACACACACACACACACTGCAATAAGAAACCATTTACACCACCAATGACAGTACCCCTTCTTCTGAGAGATCTGGACTTCTGTACCTAAGGCCTACCTGGAATGGTGCACCTATCCATCCTCTGCAGACAGGTGGGTACATGCTGGGTT